GCCAGCCGCCCAGCACGGCGGCCGCTCCGGCAGCAGGCAGCGGCCATGGAGGGCAGTCAGGGGAGCTCGCCCTCCTCAGCCAACTCCTCCGAGGAGCTCAGCGCCGCGCTGCCGCTGACCAAGGGGATGTCCATCTTCCTCGATGTGAGTAGGGGCAGCGCGGCTCGGCCGGGCCCACGCGCTGCTGCCTTGCTTGCCTTCGCGGGCTCGGGCCGGGCCAGCCTGGGTGCGGGCAGAGCTCCGCGCTCTGAGGCGCTGAGTCGCGGGGTGGGGGGTAGTTCTGGGATCCCATTTCTAGCGCATCCTTGTAGCCGGTGTCTGGTCCCCAAAGCCAGCACCCACCTGCTGGGGGAGAGAGACTCTGAAATCCTCCCCCCCCTGCAGTGACACCACACACACACTCCCTCGCACCTTTGGGGTGCCCCGGGATTTGCATGGCTCCAGGCGAGTGGAAAGTTTTGGCGGCGCATGGAAAGGTGTTTTCAGCGAAGAAGGATCTCGGGCAGCTGTTTGGATCCTGCCGAACGCTTGCTCTGGCTTTGGTTGGAAATGCCTCCTAGAGCGATGCGGCATTGAAAGCTCTCCCATCTAGGCACCGCTGAAACTGTCTTTTTAAAGGGGGGAGATGCTCAAAGCCGAAATCCAAAACGTAGCACGATGTTGCTTTGCCTCTAGCGCAGCAAACTCCTTGTATTCTTACAAAATAATAATTTAGAGCATATGCTTCGAGGCTAGGGGCTGGGACCTAGTCTGCTTTTATTTATAGGACCTTCTGTGAAATGTTGAATATCAAAAGTTGTGTTAAAAATTTCTGACGTTTCATATAATACGTATAGATAGCAGCAGTAGATTGTAAACCTGATCTGAATATGAAGAAGCTGCCAGAGTAGAGGCACAGGCATGTTAACTGAATTTACATCTGAACCAAAAATAATGTAACTTTCAGGCATTTACTATCTGCTACTTGTACTTCTTATCTGATCATCAAGAGTGACTGATCCAGCAGTATGAGCAGTATCTCCTGGTAGGTACAGGGTCCTCTCAATTCCCAATAGACTCTGAAGGAAATGAGGGCATCATTTCCATGAGGAGTAACGGTAGTTCGAATTAGGATCTTTAATCCGAACTACCTACTCCGTGCCGCGTGTAGCCACAGGCACGGAGTTCGGACTAAGGGGGATTTTAAAATGGCGGTGCCCAGGAACATGCAAATGAAGCCCGGGATATTTAAATCCCGGGCTTCATTTGCAACTCCACTTGCCCTAATTACCCTACCTAGCTCGAACTAACAAGCTAGTGTAGATGTACTCTAGGGGACTATCCTCTTAAGCAATCTCAAATATCCACCAACACATAAGCAGCAGAAGGTTTGGTCCAAAAAGAGCTCCAAAGTGCCTTCTGGCCTCCTCTAGAGCAGTGATTTCCAATCTTTTTGATATTGGAGTCCAGTAAACCCATTCACAAGTTTTTGGAGGACCAGTAACATTTATTTGCATATTAGCATATTCATTAAGCAAATGATAAATATGCAAATAAATTGTTTCTGGTCCTCCTAAAGACCTCCTGATCAGCTGTTTGTCAGCTCAGCACGGCAGCCATGTAAATTTAAATTAAGCGGCGATTATTTAAATTGCCGCTTCATTTTCCTATGCCTGGTAGCCTAATCTACATGCCTCTGATGACAGAGGCATGTAGTCTAGATGTACCCTTTGTCTACGCTGCAGGGTTTTTGTACAAGAAGATTTCTGCGGAAGAGATCTTCTGCAAAAACTCCTTGCGCAAAAGCACATCCACACCTCAAAAGCACATGGCAAAAATTATGTGCTTTTGCACAAGAGAGTGTCCACACTGCATGGACGCTCTTGCAAAGAAAGCTCTGATGGTCATTCACAGAATGGCCATCAGAGCATCTGTGCTTTTTCTGATAGGCTCTTTTTGCACAAGAAACTCCTGTGGAGCATCCACACATGCCTTTTTGCACAAGAGCTGTAGCACAAAAAGGAGTTATTCCTCGTGGGGAGAGAAATAACTCTACCACAAAAGCCCTCTGTCCTGTCAATTTACTGTAATTCTTTTGTGCAAAAACAATCTTGAGGTGTGGACTTTGCCAGGTTTTGTGCAAAAATGGCTTTTTTGTGTGCAAAAATGGCCGTTTTTGTGCAAAAACTTTGTAGTATAGACCTAGTCTAAGCGTCTGCCTTCTAGGGCTTCCAATAATTCAATGCAGTGCTGTTTGAAGTATAATCACTTTCACGTGGTCTGAGACTGGTGCACCAACTGCTGGTCACTTGGATGTCTCTGATACCTGTGTAACCACTACCCAGCGATTTTGAACCTGGGACCTCTGAAGCCTCTACCCTTTGAGCTAAAAGTCAGCTTGCTCTGAGTCCATGCTGGAGAGGTCACTTGTTCTTAACTGTTGCTGTGGTCTCGGTGCCACTGCATGGGACAGTGAACTACACTAGGGTTGTGTCTAGACTACAGGGTTTTTTCGAAAAAAGTGGTCTTTTTTTAAAAAAAAACTTCCCCTGCATCTAGACTGCTGCCACGTTCTTTTGAAAGTAAATCGAAAGAATGTGGCAGTTTTTTTTGATCGCTGAAAACCTCATTTGACAAGGAATAACACCTTTTTTTGAAAGTGCTCTTTCGAAAAAAAGGTATTATTGAACGCGAACTGTGCTTTTTCCAAAGACAGCATTCAGACTGCCTAGGTGTTCTTTTTCAAAAAAGCAGCTCGCTTTTTTGAAAGTACTGGTTGTAGTCTAGATGCTGTCTTTCGAAAGAGGCTTGTATTCTAGACATACCGTAGGCATGTGGGTTACACCTGTGCTAGCTGTACCACCCATACCATACCCATACCATATGGGTGGTACAGCTAGCATAGGTGTATTGTGCATTGGTGGCATTGTGCATTATTGCTCAGGGCACAAATACATTGTGCAGCTTGTTTATCTTGGCTTGTGCCACTTGCTCTGTGCAGGATACATCCCACTTATTTTTCACATTATCCAGTTCCAGTACATTAGCCATGCTTCCCCAGCTCACAGTAGGCAATTTAACGCAGGCACCTTTGCTTAAAGGAGCAGCGTTTCTGCACTTGCCACCAAGGTTTTGTTCCGCTTTGAGGACTACCCGCTATCCTAATCTAATCTACTAGAATCTAACATAGCTAGCCCTAGCAATTAGATCTTAACACTTCTATTTTTTAAACCCACAACTCACTTTCTCTCTCTCTTTCTCTCTCCCCTTCCCACCTTTGGCATTAAAAAAGGAATCAAACCAACCACAAGCGCTCTTGCTGTCTATATAATGGATATTAATTAATAGCTACTCATTCCAATACAATGCACATTCTTACAGACATCACTGTTGCTGGAGTACAAAATAGGAAGCAGGCAAAAGGGAGAAACATTTTCATGTTTGCTCCATGTGAGAACACAGAAGAAAAATGACTACTGATTGCCAAATGAAAAAAAACAACCCACCATGATGGTTAGGACCCAGTGTTGTATTTTAGCCTTTAAAAGAATATTGCAGAATGTAAAACTGTTCTGACAAGGCTCTAGATGGTCTTTTGTCCATCTGCAATTTTGCTTTTCAATATATCTTCTCAAAGTCAAGATCCAAAGACTTTTGCAATTTGGTGTTAGTATTGATTGAGTGAAGTGTTAAAAAAGAAATCAAAGAAGGAGTAGCCCAACTGTGATAGAGATGTAGCCGTGTTAGTCTGGTGTAGCTGAAACAAAATAGAGGACTATGTAGCACTTTAAAGACTAATCATCATCTAATAAACCATCTTGTTAGTCTTTAAAGTGCTACATAGTCCTGTATTTTGTTTTAGCCCAACGGTGTTACTAAAAGTTGAATAGCAAAACCCCCGTTGTTCAGAGTTATTAGAGAATAATTAAAGCCATTAAATTTGGTTCAGAATTAACCTGAATATAGACTTTGAACATCCCAAAGTTCAGATCTGAGTTTATGATCTGAGTTTATGAAGGGAATCTTGTATCTGGATTAGTGTCTATTATTTAAATTATATTCCCCTTGTCAAACAAAATATAGCCAGGCAAAGCAATTATGAGAGAGTTAGAGTGCTTACATTTCAGGGTGCTTGGAGCTTGGGTTTTCAGTTAGTCCAATCTCTAATAAAAACTATAAAGTAATGTTGCTATAAGTGATTTATTTTAACTAATCCTAGCTAGTTTCTTAGCTGCACCATTTTCTGAGACCAATTCTGGCACCAGGGCAGAACAGTCAATGGGTCCCCAGGCATGCACAAACTGTGCCCTCGTGGAACAGTCCACCTGACATTTGTGTGATGCAGCATCTGCATTGGCTGGTGCCCAGCAAACTGCCAGCTGCGCTATTAGTGCCCATTGAGCTGCCAATTATGCCCCTGGGCGCATTCTTCTGGCACAGACAGGGCTTCCACATGGGCCCCAGGAGGGTTGCCAACTGTCTAACTGTACAGACTCAAAGACACTGCATTGCCCTGCCCCTTCCCTGAGGACACATCCCATCCCACTCCTTCTTCAAGGCTCCAGCCCCCCACTCATTCCATCCCTCCTCTCTCTGTCATTCGCGCTCCCTCACCCTCACTCACTTGAGGGTTGAAGTGCAGAGGGTTGGAGTGCAGGGTGCAGGCTCTGGAGGGGAGTTTGGGTGTAAGTGGGGATGTGGCGTGTGGGCTCTGGGAAGGAGCCTTACTAATCTACTAGAGTTCTTTGAGGGGGTCAACAAGTGTGTGGACAAGGGGGATCCAGTGAATATAGTGTACTTAGATTTCCAAATAGCCTTTGACAAGGTCCCTCACCAAAGGTTCTTAAGTAAAGTTAGTTGTCATGGGATGAGAGGGAAGGGCCTCTCATGGACTGATAACTGGGTAAAGGACAGGAAACAAAGGGAAGGAATAAATGGTCAGAATGGAGAGAGGTGGTGTCCCCCAAGGGTTTGACCTGGGTCCAATCCTATTTAACATATTTATAAATGATCTAGAGAAAGGGGCAAAATTTGCAGATGATTCCAAACTTCTCAAGATCGTTAAGACCAAAGCAGTCTGTGAAGAGCTTCAAATGGATCTCACAAAACTAGGTGATTAGGCAACAAAATGGCAAATGAATTTTAATATTGATAAATGCAAAGTA